ACCGTCGAGCGTCACCATGCGCGCACCAAACTCGACCCCAATTGTCAGGTCGTGCACCTGCGGCCGCAGGCAGGCAGGGTGCAGCAGCAGTGAGCGATGACAGCGCAGACGCCCTGCCCGCCCGGCCCAAAAGGGGAGCGCGAGCGCGCGCGGGCACGTGCCTGCTGGAAGCGTTTGTCAGTGAACTGCAGGAGCAGGCAGGACTTGCCCACGCCCGTATCGCCGATGATGATGTACCTTGCGGGACCAGTTCAGGCGTGTCAGCCTGCACAGAAAGTGTGCGTCGCACGGACGCCCGGCTGCCAAGTCGCGGAGTAACGAAGGAGAGGGGGGAAGAGGGGATGTGACGGGAAAGGGGGTACGGGGAAGCACAGCGGATCGGAGAGGTAAGGGGAAACACAGCGGGCGCTGCGAGTGCGACGCGTGCGGCGCACTTGAACAGGTAGGCGTAGCTCATGGCGCTGCTGGGCGGCCTCCTATCGGACGCCTTGGCGAGAAAAAGAATTTTTCACCGACACCAAAATCCTGCTCGTGCACATTCAAACAGCGCCTGAACGCATGGCGTTCAGGCGGCACTTCTCTCGCGTCGGCTCCGCCGAGCGCTGCACAGAGACCATCTTCACTGACCACCAACGACAGGTGTGCGACTACGCGCTCGTCTACGCGGAGAAGAAGAACGACGGCGAAGCGCCGTACTCGGTCTCCTTCACCGCGACGCAGAGCGGCGACGTCATCGTACAGCTGCACCCGCACTCGCAGCTCGAGCGCGCGGTGCGCCACGAGCGGCAGGCGCAGGCCACGGAGGCGCCTGCGAGCGCGAGCCCTGCGGCGCCGCCCGCCCCTGCCGCCGCGCCGCCAGCCGCGGAGCCGGCGCCCAAGACGTACGCCGCCGCAGCCGCATCGCAGCCGCAGGGTGCCACCGCGGGTGGCCAGCCCGCCGCGCCTGCGGGCCCGGCCGCCGCCGCGCGCGTGCCGCCGCCGCCCAGCGGCGGCGGAGTGCGCGGCTGCTCCTTCACTGTCCCTAACCCGGGCAGGAAGCGTGGGCAGCAGCAGCGCGGCAAGGGCCGCGGTGCCAGGGGCCGTGCCGATGCTGGACCCCGTCTCGTTGACAAGAACGCGCTGTCCGCGCGCGGCAGCGGGCCCTCGCGCCAGTCGCGCTCGCCGTCGCCCGACTCTCCGCCCGCCAAGCGGGCCGCCTCCGCTGACTCGTCCGGCTATGAAACCGATACGCCGGACGAGGTGCAGCAGGAGGCGGTCCGCAGGGTATGCGGCGCGCTCGGCATGAGGGAGCAGTTCGAGGCGGCGATGGCGGCGGGCGAGCTGCTCGAGATGCTCGAGAGCTTGCCGCGAGGGGCGGTCGAGGCCTCCGTTCGGCTGATGCGCGGTTACAACCGCACGGGCGAGTGGCCAGAGCCCATCCTCACCAGCCCTGCCCCGCAGCGCGGCCGCTCGCCAAGCCCCGTCGATGAGTGGTCAGATGGTTAGTGCCCGAGAGCGAGGGGTCCGGGGGGGAGCACAAACATAGGACGCCCAGCCTTGCCCTCGTGCCGCCGAGGCATAT